GCAGGAGGAAGACCACATGCCACGAGGATCCTCAAGCTGCAGCTAAGCAGAAGCAGGGTAGCCTTCAAGGTAGGAGGATATGAGCCAGGTTCTGGAATCACCCCAAAGTCCCCGCAACAGCTAGCCACGAAGCAGACCGCTGAGAAGGCGCCACGTGGAGGGCTCCATTAAATACAGGGAGAGGTGGAAAGAAGCAGAGCCAGTTCACCCCCACATTCCCGCCCCAGCCACTCACGATGTTTCAAATGTTAATATACTTTCTCCCCCCTCCCCAACCTTGGTTTTTCAAGACAGTTGTAGTCCTGGCTGTCCTGGAACTCACTCTGTAGACCAGGCTGGGCTCACACTCACAGAGATCCGCCTGCCTCTGCCTCCCGAGTGCTGGGATTAAAGGCGTGCACCACCACTGCCCAGCAGTAGCGTACTTTCAGACATGCCCCACACACTTAAAAAAGGGGGCATCACTGGAAAGTGCTCAGCACCTGCTGTGATAGCACAGAACCTGGTCCACTTCCCAAGACCTCTGTGGGAAGAAGGCCCTGGGAGGGGCTCCCTGCAGCTTGCACCCACCAGCTACCTCCAAGTTTCCCAGAACCCACTGCTGACCTGCTTCTTCTCCCTGGGCAGAGTCCTGCGGGCCTCAGTTTTTTCCATGAAGTGCTTGTGGATCTCCACAAAGTCGCATTTGTCAAGGTGTGTGATAAGCTTTCTCTCCTCAGCTGTCATCTCCTGTACCAAAACCAGTAATATGTGCTCAGTGCTCTAATATGGGCACCTCCCTACCACACGGGAGTCCACACTTGAGGCCCATTGCTCAGGATCACTGTGATACACCACAAACATGGAACCTCCCTATGACATGGGGAGCCCACTAGACAGGATCACCATGATTTACCACAAACACGGGGCTGACCTCTGGGCAGAGTGCTAAGGCCATGCCACCAGACCAGAGGTTCTCAACCTGTGGGTCATGACCCTGGAGTTGGGGGGGTTTGAATGACCTTTTCACAGGAGTCTTATCAGATATTCTGTATATCAGATATTTACATTTTCATTCATAATAGTAGTAAAATTAAAGTTACAGAGTAGCAGCAAAATAATTTGGGGGTCACCACAACAAGAAAAACTGTCTTAAAGGGTTGCAACATTAGGAAGGTTGAGAACCACTGCACTAGATTCTCAGCCTCCAACAACTATTATACCAGAGGCCCAGGTACACAGTAGAGGCCTATGAATAAGTCATGTAACCCCAGCAGGAAACAGCTGCCTCCTGGACACATGGTAACACAAGGATGCATGACAAGGTAAAACCAGGACAAACAGGGACAGCTTAGAGGATGGTGTGTGGTCTCAGCTTCAGACTCGTTGCTCTGGCTAATATGCTGAGCCTTGCTCCTTCAGAAAATAACCAAATGAAATTCCCAAGTGATCCCCAGAATCTACATCCTTCCCCAGGGCAAGACCTCCCATGCCTCACACCATCAGGGGCCAAAGATTCTGCTAACAGAGCGGCTCATTCCAGGTTCCAGTGACAGAAGTGCACCACTCCCAGACTCCAGCCAGCAGTAATGCACTCTACTAGTATGAGCCCAGGGGTGGTGATGTGGGGACAGCCAAGGACAACCATTTCCAAACGTAATTTAATGTTTCGGTGATGAAAGTGGTAAAATCCCTGACCCACCAGCTCCACTGTACTGATCCCCATCCTATGCAAATTATCCATGTTGGTGTGATGATAATTACACTTTAGGGACAATTAAAGAAGAAAGCTTTATAAAGCACTGGATAAACTGCAGCAAATTCACTCAGTGGAATATTAAAATCCTTCTTGCCTTTGAAGGTTTGAACTTTTGCCAGACTATGCAGCCAAGTAAATAATATGCCTTAACATCAGTAAAGGCTATGTACTTGGGGCTGGAGAAATGGATGGCTCAGGGGTTAAGAGCACTGGCTGCTCCTCTAGAGAACCTGGGTTCACTTCCCAGAACCACATGGTAGCTCACAACTGTCCATAATTCCAGTTCCAGGGGATCCATCGCACCAGGCATGCCTGTGGTGCACATATCTGTGTATGCAGGCAAAACACCAAAGCACATAAAATAAAATAGAGTATATACTTAACCTGTCTTACTGTGGACTCAGCCTGTTTGCCTTTAAGAAAAGGTGGGCTGGACAGTGGTGGTACATGCCTTTGATCCCAACACTCAGGAGGCAGAAGTAAGCGGATCTCTGAGGTAAGCGGATCTCTGTAGTTCAAGTCCACCCTGGTCTACAAAGCTACACAGAGAAATCCTGTCTCGAGAAGAAAAAAAAAAAAAAAAAAAAAAAAAAAACTAACAACAATAAAAGAAAACAATTGGGGCTGGAGAGATGGCTCAGAGGTTAAGAGCACTGCCTGCTCTTCCAAAGATCCTGAGTTCAATTCCCAGCAACCACATGGTGGCTCACAACCATCTGTAATGAGATCTGGTGCCCCCCTTTGGCCTGAAGGCATACATGCAGGCAGGACACTGTATGCATAAATAAATAAATCTTAAAAGAAAACAATGTAACCAACCTTACTGTGCCTTGGATTTTCTAGGTAGTCAGCTTTTATAACACAAGCTAATGTATAGCTTTAATGTTAAGCTTTGTACTTTTCCATGCCCCTGACCTGTAGCAATGTGTATGTTTTTTCTAACTGTTCAATAAGTACAGAACAAAGTACTTTGTTAGGGACAGACACAGTGCAACAGGCAGGCCACATACCACAAAGCACAGACAGGAGACATAGGAAGAAAGTAGAGAATTCAAATATGGGCTTGCTCTTGGTCAAAACTACACAGAGAAGAAGTCTCATGTGACATCAATGCAATCATATACATTAAAAAAAGAAACAAGCTGGGTGTGGTGGTGCGCACCTTTAATTCCAGCACTCAGAAGGCAGAGGCCAGACTCAGCTTACAAAGGAAGTCCCAGGACAGCCAGCACTACATGGAGAAACCTTGTCTCAAAAAATTCAAAAGGGGGGCTGGAGAGATGGCTCAGCATTTAAGAGCACTGACTGCTCTTCCAGAGGACCAGAGTTCAATTCACACAACCCACATGGCAGCTTACAACTATCTGTAACCAAAACTATCTGTAACTCCAGGATCTGACACCTTCACACAGATATGCATACAGGCAAACACCAATAAAATAATAATAAATTATTTTTTAAAAATTCAAAAGAACATATCCAAATGTCAAACAGTACAGGAAAAGATACTCAATGCTGTCAGTCACTGGAGAAATGTTGGGGGGTACAGGCTTGTGGTTGCTAGGTGACAAGATGTAAAGATCAGGCCAGGCTCACATGTTACACGTTTTAAAAAACAAGGTGACACAATCCTGACACAATCCTCTCATACTGTGTGCTTATTTTCATGGGACAGAAAACGCCCTGTGGACCGCACCAGACGCCTACTCTGAGAGCTGGATGCTGTCATTAGAGCCCCCAAGACAAGGTCACCACAGTCTGCCATGCTGGGCAAACACTTTGGTCACTGAAAGCTGGATGGGCTATAGAGAAGGCAGCTGACTGGGCGCGCCCCAGGGTGTCCCCCACACACCTTCCGCCAGTCCCTGAAGAAGTTCCTCTGGAAGACTTCCTTGGTCGCACACTCGAGGTGCAGCATTTTCCCGTACAAAGTGGCTACCTCCTCCGCTGCCACGCTCAGCTTCACTGGCTTTCCTGCAGATAACACAGGGGCCACAGGCCCCATCCGGTGACACAACGTCCTACTTCAGGGTACAGTGTACTCTGAACATACCCAAGTTAAAAATGACCAGCGCTCGAGTAAGGCAATGGTCACACACTCCCAGAGCAGCACCAGGAATATCACTGTGGGGTTTGCGACAGCCCCAGCCACTCTCTCCTTTATTATGCTGCATCTTATTACTAAGTTTGTATTATATGAAAAAGTGACATATGTATTTCATTATTATTGTGTGTGTGAACACACATCCCACATAGAGGGCAGGGGCACCACACATGCCACAGAGCCTGTGGAAGTCAGAGGACACTTTGTGGAATGGGGTCTCTGTTATTCTTCTGTTTAAAAAGAAGAAAAGGAGAAATGCTGAGACAGACATATTGACTATAAGTTTATTATAAGGCCCGGCAGAATGGGGAGACTAAGAAGAGGAACAGGGGTAAATGGCTGACCGCCATGACCGGTCACCATAGAGAGACAGAGCGAGCGCATAGGTGGGAGACAGAGAGAAAGCTGAGAGGAAACAGAGCAGGGAAACAGAGAGAGGAAACAAGAGAGTGTAAATGGGCAGGGACCTGTCTTTTAAAAGGGTCCTCTGCACCCGCGTGCAGACTTAGTTCCCATGGAACCTTGGGCTGACCAGGGTACTGCCTGTTCCACCAGGTAACAGGGGCAGGCCAGCATAATGCCTGAACCTTTCAGTCTCTCCTTCCATCTTTATGTGGGTCCCAGGGATCAAAACTTGAGCCACAGCTGGGTGGTGGTGGTGGCACATGCCTTTAATCCCAGCACTTGGGAGGCAGAGGCAGACAGATTTCTGTGAGTTCAAGACCAGCCTTGTCTACAAAAGCTAGGTCCAGGACAGGCTCCAAAGCCACACAGAGAAACCGTGTCTTGAAAAAAAAAAAAATACCTTGAGCCACCAGAATTTGGTGGCTCATGCCTTTACTCACCAAGTCATTCTGATGGTCCAAAAAAAAAAAAACAACCCACATTTTCAAAAAATATTTTTGGACAAGAGAGATGGCTCAGAGTTTAAGAACACTGGCTGCTCTTTCTAGCAACCACATGGTGGCTCACAACCATGAAATCTGGTGCCCTTTTCTGGCCTGCAGGCATGCAAGCAAAACACTGTATACATTTAAAAAAACAAAAAAAAAGACTATTAAAAAATATTTTCATTTTATTGCAATTCTGGGGATGAACCCAGGGCCTCATGTATGCCAGGAAAGCACTCCATCATAACTATACCCTTGGCCCTAACAAGTGCAATTCTAAAACACAAATTTCCACATAGGAAATTACAGAAACAAAATAAAAGTTAATGTGTCACAGTGGGAAAGTGTGAACCACTGTAGGTGTGACCCTCCATGCTCAGTGACTTTCTGCACTTCATGAAAAGTTCAGCATGACAGCAGAGTGCACAGGAGCCCAGACAGAACACCAGCAGGTGCCAAGGTATCCCTGATGGAAATCTCTCAAATGAATATCTCAGAACAGGAATTTCAGAAAAGACGTGTGCGGGTAAAGGCACTTGCCAAGCAAGTGTGGTGACCTCAATTTGATCCTGGGTCTGGCAAAAAAATGATGGGCCGGGTGTTGGTGGTGCACGCCTTTAATCCCAGCACTTGGGAGGCAGAAGCAGGCGGACCTCTGTGAGTTCGAGGCCAGCCTGGTCTACAGAGCGAGTGCCAGGACAGGCTACAAAGAGAAACCCTATCTCAAAAAACCAAAACCATCATCATCATCATCATCATCATCATCATAATACCAAAACCATCATCATCATCATCATCATCATCATCATCATCATCATCATAATAGAAGAAGAAGAAAATTGACCCCACAAAGTTGTTCTTCGACCTCTACAATGTACTTCGGCACTTGTGCCTGGGGCCACAACATAGGTGAATATGGGCCCAGCATGTGTACACATCACAAGCAAAGGTAAGTATATCTCTATGAGTTAGAGGCTGGCCTAGTCTACATAGTAAGTTTTAGGACAGCCAGGGCTATATGGAGAGAGCCAGTTTCAAAAAAATAAAAATAAAAAAGAGAAGGAAGAGGAGGAGGAGAAACAAACTGCTAGGTGTGGTGTGGCTCACACCTTTAATCCCAGCACTCAGGAGGCAGAGAGGGTATGTCTCTGTGGGTTCAAGGTCATAGAGAGTTTCAGGCCAGCTAGAGTTACATAGTGAGACCCTGTCTCAAAATACCAAAAAAAAAAGAACAAACAAACGATAGGAACAGGTTCAGCGTTCCACACCATAAAAGGACAGACTCGGCACACACTGTGTCTCCACTACCACCTCTCACCAGGTGGCTAGTCCAGATACAGATATGTGTGTGCACTGTCAATGTGCCCACAGGCGAGGCTGAGAGACCAAAGCAGCTCACCCCAACCTTGGGCAAGTCTGGATACAACGTGTGTCCCTGAAACACAAACCTGTGCCTCTCCTTCCTTGTAGCAGCCTGCCAGTGGCCATCTACATGTGTGAGTGCGTGCACACACACACACACACACACACACACACACACACACACACACACACACACACAGTTTCTAGAGGACTCCAGTGTTGGCCCTGCCCTCTATGCTATTAGCCAGTCCATCCAGAAGTAGGGAAGAGGACTTTGCTGGGAAGCTTACCACATCTTCTCAGCATGCTGACAGAGAGAAAGTCAGCCCAAAAGTACTCAGGCAGCCCAAACCCAAGAGAACACACAGCCTCACCATCGTAGAAGAAGTGTACACCATCAGGCAGGGGCTCATAGGCAGGGGTGAAGTATGGACCCTTGTGCTCCAGCTGCCTCCACTTCACACTGTTCTCCACCTTTTCTTCCCACCTGAAAAGACAGGAGAGTGCCTAAGTGGAGCCCTGCTCTCCCCACACCAGGCCATTCGTGCATTTCCCCCTCAGCCTGTGCTTTACCTACGAGGAAGACAGTGCCTAAAGAGATAGGGCAAAAGCTGATAGCTGGGATAATAATAAGTATACGCTATCATGCCTGGTCTGACAGTTTTTTGTTTGTTTGGCTTGGTTTTTCGAGACTCCCTCTGTAGACCAGGGTGGCCTTGAACTCACAGAGATCTGCCTGCCTCTGCCTCTGCCTCCCGAGTAAAGGGATCAAAGGGATCAAAGGCATATGTCACCACCACCCGGCTGACATATTTTTCTAAAGAGCCTTTCTTGATGTTCCTGAAGTGAAGGGATGGGGGTGGGGGGTGGAGCTACAGTGACTGAAAGTGAGAGTAGGTGGGGAAGGGGGGTTAGGGAACAAGGGACCAGGTCCTAAACAGAAAGCAATGCCAGGTGTGCCCTGAGAAAGAAAGGAGCTGGACCAGGCTTCATGAACACTAGGAGCTCTGGCAAATCTGGATGCCAGAGGGCGTCCCATAATAATGCAGAGGGGGCTGAGCGTTGGTGGCACACACCTTTAATCCCAGCACTCGGGAGGCAGAGGCAGGCGGATCTCTGTGCGTTCGAGGGCAGCCTGGTCTCCAGAGCGAGTGCCAGGATAGGCTCCAAAGCTACACAGAGAAACACTGTCTCGAAAAACAAAAAAAAAAAAAAACAACCTCCAAAGCTACACAGAGAAACACTGTCTCGAAAAACAAAAAAAAAAAAACAAAAACAAACAAAAAAAAAATGCAGAGGGGAAGGGAGAAAAGTGGTGGCCAAAGGTTCCAAATCCCATTCCGCCTATCTTAGGGGTCTAGGTGGTAACAGTTTTTGCTCTAGTCTGCTGTTAGCTGGATCTAGCATCCCCAGATCTGAAGATGGCAGGATGCATAAGTTCTTCATGACACGGGCTCAGACCACACTTCCTCCAGCATTCACCCAGTCCAGGGTCATAACATGTGGACAGGGCCGAGAGTGCCGAGCTCATCACAAAAACCGCTATGTGGATTCTACCACCATCTCCATTTCACAGACAAGGACACGGAAATGGAGGCTATAAACTCACTGTGGTGTAAGTGGCATTCCCTTGTACTGTCAGAGTACCAAGCAAGGCCATCAAAAGCAAGTTACCTGGGTGTCCTGCTGTGCACCTGCAACCTAGCAGCTTCTCCAAGTGAACACAATTCTATCCCATCGGGACAGGTAGAATGGGCCTGTCTTTCCCTGGAATCCCTCCCTCCCCTCCCCTCCCCCGAGGCCAAGAACTTAGCTGCCCCAGTAGGGGCTGAGGTACCAAAGGCAGGTCAGTAGGCCTGCTGTAAAAGCTGACCCTGGAAGAGCTGTCTTCACTGTGAACTCCCCCACCCCACTCCTGCGAACACACCAGAACACCGACTCCCTAAGTACTAAGTGATCAACAATCCCTCAACAGAGAGCTCTGGTGGCATGCTCCCGGGAACTTCAGTGCAGGAGGGAAAGAGACCCATTCCAACCCCAGGACGCAAGTGTAGGGCCTCTTCCTCAGTCCCTAGGAAGTCTAGCAGAGCAAGCTGGGTGACCTGGGGTAAGGACTGAAAGCTAAGGCCACGTGACAAAGAGCGTAAGAATCGTGAAGTGGGCCCAAGACCAACCAGGGAACCTGGGAACCACACTCCGAAGGGACCTCCTCCACCAAACCTCCGCAGCTCGGAGGTCCAGACCAATCACGTGGGTGACCGAATTTCCCAACGTGTCTGGCGTGACCCGGCACAGGAGCAGGATTCTGCAAGTCACTAACAAATGCTGCACCCTGTCTCCCCTGAGCTCCGTCCCACCCGCCTTACCCTGCTTTGTTGGCCTTCGCGCCCCGGGACGCCTGGCGGCAGGTGTCGCGGAGGGGGACATGCTGAAATGCCCCCGGGAGCCATAACAGCCGCATGCGTGTGAGTGCGCAGGCTCAGCCGGCTTTCTGGGGCCACGCCCTTCAGGCAGAGCCCCGCCCACACTTCCGGAGTCCCGCCCAGCCCCTCCCTCTTTGGACTGCTTCGCCAGCCTGGGCCAAGTAGTGCCACTACTTTTTCCTAGCGCCTCTACCTGCCATGGCATCCTAGAGAAGTGACTAGACAGACACTCATGGTTAGAGGCCCCTACCTAAGTGATAAAACACCAAATGCCTGCACTTCGGGGAAGACGCTGTTGCAGGCACCAGCTGTCCAGTCCAAAGCAACCTCTCCTGGGCAACGGGAAGTTCTGCAAAGATTGCTGTTGCCCAGGCGCGCCAAGAGACCAGGGACATGAGCCATAAGTGCCTCCTTTCCCACACTCAGATCTCAAGGCATCTGTACCAAGCAGCAAAAACCTCCCAGCCAGCAGCCGGCTGGGCTCCAGCCAGCAGCAAGCAGCCCTGGTAGTTCCCCTAAAGCAGCCCTACAGACCTGCAAGAAGCTGGTGAACTAACAGAAAAGGTGGGAAAGAGGCGGAGACCCGCAGGGAAGAGCAAGCGGACCCTGTTGGTCCGATCCACAGCCACCAACTTACTGGATTCTTACTGACATCTAGCGGTCGGAGTCAGGAACAGAGGCGTGGAGGGACTAGTGGGCCTCCTGCTGTTCACATGCAGCACTACAGAAAGTTGGCCAGGTATGATTAACAGACAAGCAGAAGGCTCTGGGAAGCGTACTGGGTATTCCAGGTCTGTAGCTGCCTTCCTGGGACCCTTGTCTCCTTGAAGACCAGTTGGGGTTGTCCAAGTCGGGGAGCATGGCTTCACAGTGCTCAGGTCCTCACAGCAGGTACAAGGAGCCCTGCTTTGTACACAAGACCAGGCCTGAGAAAGCATTTCAGGTGGAGCATTCATCAGACCTCCTGACCCCCAAGCCCACCATAAGGCTATTCTGTGTCATGTCCAGGCCTGTAGCCCCCAGCAGAGAGCAGGGGCACTTGACTTCAACACACACTCCATACAATCATCTCCCCATGACTAACATACAGGACAGTACTTGATGGGCTACCACAGCTTGTGCCTACCCCTGGGACACAATTGGGGAGGTGTGCTCTTCTACTAGACAAGTTTAATTTCTCCAAATCTCAACCTCCTCTAGCATCCTCCCCACCCCCCAAAGTCTGATCAGAGCAAGGCAGGCATGGTAAGAGGCTTCAACCAGCTCTCTCCCTGATGCCTCCTGCAGCAGCTGGGGAGATGGCCAGTATGAGGGGTTTGAGCCCCAGCACCCATGTGTGGTGGCACACACTTGTCACTCTAACACTGGGGAGGCACAGAGAGGTGGATCTCTGGGCCTTGATGTCCAGCCAGCCTAGCCATCTAGTGAGGTCCAATAAGGTAGACTGACACCTGAGGTTGTCTTCTGGTCTTGGTCTGCACACAGACATGCTCTCATAGACACATGAACATGGCACACACCCACACACACAGTGTGTCTACATGAACACGCATGCATAGCTCCACTTCAAGGGAGCCTCCTCTAATTGCAGCTCACACCTCCCCAACCACCTGCAGCACAGAAACCCACCCCTGTGTGGTCCTGCAATTTACTGTTTGCCCTTGCTGCTTCCTTATCGTCCTGCCCTCCCTTTTCTGCCCCTTGGTCATTTTTCTCCTCTTCTTCCTCAGCATCACCTGGCTTGTTGTACTCCTCCAATCTCTTTGAGACTCTTACACACACACACACACACACATACACACACACACACAAACACAAACACACACACACCATGCTGCCCCAACCCAGGCAGTCCCCAACAAGCTCACTCTCACAGCACATCTCTGGGTGGGCTGTGTGTCCTGCTTCAGGACCACCATCCTGTGGTCTACCCTGCCTTCTCTTTCCTGCCAAAGTCTCCAGTTTAGACTTACCAAACCCTATGACTCATCTCTTAACTCTGTGTCCTCACCCAACCTGGCATTTTCTTCTCTTGGTCCTTCAGCTCACACATCAAGCATCTGCTTCCCAATGGTCCCTGCACCAGTCTTCCTGGCTCCTGCTGAAACTTGCCTAGCCAAACTTTCCCTGGGTGCTACTGTTCTTGAAGCCAGCCACTGGCTGTCTCCTGTCACAATATCTTATGAAGCCCTTTCTTCTTTCCCTCTTAAATTTCTTCTTATTCGCTTTCTTCCTGACCTTTTGGGTTTTCACATAGCCCTTTCCCTGGCGATCCTCTCTCCATGCTCTGCTCTTGGGTCTTGAGGTACAGCTTAACAGAGACCCCATCATACCCATTGAAGACCACCTTCCTCTTGTCTGTGCTATTTCCTGAAAGCCTGGGACTTACAGAAAAGAAAATATACAGAAAGTGAGCAGCACCCTTAGGCAGCCCCTGAGACCAGCAGAGGGAAGATGGCTTCACCATGCCCTGGTTGTTTTGTTTACTTACAGTGGCAACTGATTTAGTATCTGGAGACTAAATATTATAAAATTAGGACACGCCAGGTGTTGGTGACGCACACCTTTAATCCCTACACTCCAGAGGCAGAAGCAGGCAGATCTCTATGAGTTCAAGGCTAGCCTGGTCAAGAAACCCTGTCTTGAAAAACAAAACAAAACAAAACAAAAATAATAAAATTAGGACACATTTGCTCTGTGTGTGTGTGTGTGTGTGTGTGTGTGTGTAACATGTACAAGACAGCAAGTTAAAGTTGAATGAAGTTTTCTGGTACATGCTAACAAGCATCAATGGTGGGCTCTTCCCTCCTCCCCACCTCAACACTAAAAAGTACTGCCAGCACACTGTTCTCAACAGTGTTTGGACAATTCCATTGCCCAGGTGCCAAAGCAAGCACTTTCCTAAGTTTTAAAAAGCCATACACAATGACCGACAAGGTGGTTCAGGATAAAGGTACTTGCTGCACGAGGATGACATGAGTTTGATCCAAGAACCCATGTAAAGGCCGAAGAGAACCAGTTTCACAAAGTTGGCCTCTGACCTCCATAAGTGTACCATGGCACATGTGCACACACACATAACAAATGACAAGTGCTTTTTTTCTTAATTCTTTTTTTCCTTTTTAAATTTAATTAGAAACAATCTTATTTTACATATCAATTCCAGTTCCCTTTCCCTCCCATCCTCCCTTGCCCCCCACTGACTCCACCCCCACCCCACTCCCACCCCTGTCCCACTTCCCATCCTCTCCCCAGGAAGAGTGAGGCCTTCCATGGGGGGGGGGGGAATCGAAGTCTGGCACATCATTTGGGGCAGGGCCTAGGCCCTTCTCCATGTATCTAGGCTGAGAGAATTTTTCTCCATGGGGTAATGGGCTCCCAAAGTCCATTTGTGCACTAGGGATAAATACTGATTCCACTGCAAGAGGCCCCATAGACTGCCCAGGCCTCCTAACTGTCACCCACCTTCAGGGGGTCTGGTTCAGTCCTAAGCTGGTTCCCCAGCTGTCTGGCTGGGGTCCATGAGCTTCCCCTTGCTCAGGTCAGCTGTTTCTGTGGGTTTCCCCAGCACAGTCTTGAACACTTTGCTCAGCACTCCTCCCTCTCTACAACTGGATTCCAGGAGTTCAGCTCAGTGCTTAGCTGTGGATTTCTGCTTCTGCTTCCATCAGTTACTGGATGAAGGCTCTAGGATGGCATATAAGGTAGTCATCAATCTCATTATAGGGGAAGGGCATTTAAAGTAGCTTCTCCACTATTGCTTAGATTCTTAGTTAGGGTTATCTTTATGGATTTCTGGACATTTCCCTAGTGCCAGATTTCTCTTTACACCTATAATGGCTCCCTCTATTAAGGTATCTCTTATCTTGCTCTCCTCTATTCCTCCCCTGACTCAATCTTCCTGATCCCTCATGTCCTTCTCTTGCCTCCTCTTCTCCCCTCCTCTTTCTCCTCCTTCCCTTCCCCTCCTCCATCCCCCAATAAGTGATTTTTAAAGCGATTTACACGGTGTAATTCTACTATTTCTACTGTCAAATATACCACACTTGACCTCAGACAATCAATACATTAGTCATGTCTAAATATTTGGGACTGGATATTTCATGTAGAACTTGTCTACTGTGCACGCAACATTGGCAAATAAAATTGTAAGCAATGGTTATAATCTGAGAATCCATTGGTCTTGCTACCACTTGAGACCATGCTTCTGCCATTGAGTCTCCAATGAACTGCTTCCCTGTGTGGCGATGGTCCTGCCTCTTTCTCACACACCAGTCACTCCCATTTTCACACACTGAGCCAGGTTGTTCTGGATCATAGCACTAATGAGAAAAGAATCTCTATCCTGCCCCTTCATGGATGCAATTCTGTCATAGCTTGCGACTGTGCAGAGCCCAGGATGGATGGTGCCTTTGGGGTCTGGCAGGCAAGCCCCAGCTACTGGGCACAGCACATGGCCACACTCTAGTCACTGGGTCAGGCCGTCCTTGAGACCTACCTCTACAAGCAGAGCTACAAGCTCAGAAGAATCAGAGACAGGACAGTCCTCACAGGCCCTAGGAGAGGCAAGCACTCGGGATGACCTCGTATGGATGCTGGATGCAGGAATCCAAGAACACCAGCCTGAGTCTGCAGCAGTAGCAAGCCCAAACCAGAGCCAACTGGCTGGCACACACACACACACACACACACACACACACACACACACACACACACACACACACGCCACTGTGAGGTGTCACTCACACCCACGTAGAACAGAGCCTCTGGGAGCCCCGGGCTATGCTCCCACACTACTGGCTGTCACTTCAGCAGAGAGTTTTTCTCTGTTTTAAATTAAAACACGCATACGTCTTGCATTAATTAGAGTAGTAAAGTTTAGCACCCACTCAGGGCTTTCATAAAATATACAAAGAGCACATTACACAGTTTCAGAACACAAGAGAAGGGGGAGTTCACACTTGAAGCGTGCTGATTAAAATCGATCACCAGAAAGATGGCAAAGCCCCACTCA